AAATTCGAGTGGCCGTGAATATGAATGATTCGAATGCGTGAATGAATGATTCGATGCGTGAATCGGATATGAATTTGAGTGGCGTGGAAGTCGAATGATTGCCATGCGTGATATCGAATGATTCATCCGTGAGATCCGAATGAAGTAGATGCGTGATTGAGATTCGAATGCGTGAATCGAGAGTCAGTTTTGCCGGTGGATCGAATCATTCGATGCCGTCAAAGTCGAAATCAGTGTCGATCCGTGAATGTGTAGTATGTGAGTAAACTAACCATAAAACAAAAAATATGGATATAAGAAGACAAAGATAGCATGCCATATATAACTTTCGTTGAAATTTATGGTAGTAAATGAAGACATAATAGTTCGTTGCTGAAAGCTGCCTCTCACACCATACGAATCACACAGTTGCGTATGGTTCGCAATAGAAAAGTAGTGGGCATAAGTTTCGAACGCCAACTCACACGCAATTAATAGGTTTAGTAGGTTTGAAGCTATCCTCTTGCTGTTATTTGGGACTCAGTGTTAATCTGGTCCCATTTAGCACTCCAACACATACAGGAATAGAATAAACAGGAAGGGGGAGAAGAAGAGAGAGGAAGAAGAAGAAGAGTGTGGGTGTAGAGATCATGGAGTTAGCAGGCGCCTTGACTTTGTCGCCTGACGAGCCAGCTTCCTGGTGGAGCTCCGAGAGCGAGGAACAGTGGCATTCAGAAGTTCCTGATGATGCCCCCCCCCCGAGATGTCGATGAGCTGGCTACGCGCGAAGGAGTTGGTCCTCGGCATCACCAATGATATACCATATTAGTATTAGTATTATTAATATAGTTAATTATACAGCTTTTACCACGTACCGATAGTGTGCAACTAGCACGCACTAGCCTACGCAGGTCCAACGCACTGCAACGCAACTCGCACGCGAACTCGTAAGCAGGTGATCGCAGATTATGGGGGATATAAGTTCAGTGCAGAGCCCCAACACACCCAACACACGCAACCGCACACGCAACCCAAGCAACTCACACGCAAGCCCAATGAGGGTTGATATGTTTAGCAAATTGACAAAATTGTTTATTTGGGTTGCGTTTGGATGGCGTATAAAAATATTTTTTTTACACGCAACTCATAAGTTTTAGCATACGCTATGGTGTGAGGGCACCATAAGGTTAATACATGCGTTTTTATTCGCTAAGTATATACTGAAATTGGTTGACGTAAACTCATTTTTACTGTAAACTACCATTCTAATCGTGTCTACTAAATTCAAATTAACTGGTACCAATATATAAACTCTATGAAAAAGTACACCTCTGCAATCACTTACTGCTTCAAATTAACGGCTTTTACACACGCATGATAAAGATGGCTATAATTTGCGCGTCACCAACGTGATAGCAAATATTACGTGGGTTAGACGATGTCACACTAGCAGTAGCTCAAATCCCGGTCCATTACGCTGAACGCTGACGTTTGACTCATCGCTACTCCTAATTAATTACCTATTTTAATTAATTAATTAATAATTATTTAATTAATTATTAATTAATTAAGCCGCTAGCTCGTAGCCGAGCGCTTCCCTTCTCGTCTGCTCGGCGTACTCAGACGCCACTCATCGCCGCGGGCGTGTTCTCAGATGTGCGGCGACGTCCGTGCGCAAGGACATGAGGCTCATGTCAGACGACGAGCTGACGCGCTTCCAGGTGGCGCTGGCGACGCTGCAGGAGCAGTGGCACGGCGGCGCGCTGGCGGCGCTGGCGCGCGTCTACAGCAACCACGTGATGCAGGCGAACTCGCCCGCGTTCTTCCTGCCGTGGAATAGACTGTTCCTGAGACAGGTACGTCGATGGGCATCAAGTATGAGCCACGATGCATCAACGTTTCACACGAGCCATTCCTATAAACCAGTGGTTCTTAACCTTTTAGGAGTCATGGACTCCTTTGAGAATCTGGTGAAAGCTACAGACCCCTCCCCAGAAAAGGCACATAAGCACGTAAACACAAAATTTTCCATACAGAGGGGTTCACGGACCATGAAACCCTAGATACAATAATGTAACCCAAACACAAGATAGGTCTATCCTGTGTTTGGGTTACATTATTGTATCTACATGGAACCCCTGCTGTAAACTGTTGTTGGTGGCGTTATGGCTGCGGTTGGTTGGCTCACAGCGTGAGATGAGGGACAGGCAAGGACCACACCGTCACCAGACATGAATGTATTGTATGTGGTTTCGCCGCCCCCGTCGTTTTTGTTGTTGTTGCTGCTGTTGTCGATGTTGCTGTTGTTTTTTGTTATTGTTATTGTCATCTTCGTCGTTATTGTTGTTGTCGTTGTCGTTGATTTGTTGTTGTTGTTGTTGTTGTTGTTGCTGCTGCTGCTGCTGTTGTTGTTGTTGTTGTTGTTGTTGTTGTTGTTGTTGTTGTTGCTGCTGCTGCTGCTGTTGTTGTTGTTGTTGTTGTGAAGTTGTTGTTATTGTTGCTGCTGTTGTTGTTATTATTATTGTTGTTGTCGCTGCTGTTGTTGTTGCTGCTTTCTTAGCCATCGTCGTCGTTTAGCAAATATTAGTTGCTCTGACACTATTGCTTACGTGTTTCAGTTTGAGCAGCTACTACAGCAGGTGGACTGTACTGTCACTCTACCCTACTTTGATTTCACCACACACGTCGGAAACTTCACCAACGCTCCCTTGTGGAATTCAGCCTACTTCGGAGGAAAGGGTTGTACGTCCGGTGCGTGAGCTTGTTAGAGATAGCGCTTTTAACCAATTGCGGACAAGAAACGTTTATTTATGTTTAGACAACGTTTGCATTATTATTAATTTTCTCGCTGGCATCAATGTTTTCTTCCGTAGCCGGTCTTTCCTACCTTGGTAAGTTTTTTTTAACCAGCCAGGCTTATATTCCTATCACACCATGTGCTGCCAACTTTAGTGTTTAATTATATGTTTCCGGCAGCAATGGTATACATTTAAAGGAGACAAGGAACGAAATACGAATATTATATCGTAGATAATTCACGATATATTTTTGATAATTTATTTCCTAGATTTCGATCTTTACACGTTGTAACGGCAAGAAGCACAGTAACGTCTTACGCAGCAAATAATTCAGCGTTAATTCATCATCATTAAAAAAACACAAATTAATTAATTACTGGAATGACGGATGCCGCAGATTCGACAGCAGCATCGCAGCCGTGCGTGAGCAGACGCTTCTCCAGCATCCAACTTCCTAGCGCCGTTGAGATAGCGATCGCCATGGCAACCAACGACTACATGACGATGAGCGCCAGTCTAGAGACGTACGCCTTCCTCGTGCACGAGTTCGTCGGCGGTCACATGGCGACGTCGGCGGCCGTCTACGACCCAGCCTTCTACGCGCTGCATGCATACGTCGACGCGCTCTGGGACAGGTGGCAGCACCGTAGCGGTGGCGACGGCGGCAGCTACCCGCCGGAATACGTCGATGTGACGATGCTACCGTTTAACGTCGCTCCCGCCGACGCGCTGGACTCCGCCGCGCAGACGTGCGTCGCCTACCCGCGTAGTCCCGCGCGCGCATGCGACAGCTCCATCCCGTACCAGCGCGCCGTCGACATCCTACAGCGACAGGGCGACGGCTTCCTGCGGACGGTCGGTCGCACGTGCCCACCGCTGGTGGCGCCCTCCTCTCGCGTGGCGTACCGGCTAGGAGTCGGCGACCGCATGCAGCAGCAGCTGCCCGCGCTGCCCGTTGCCAAGGCGATGAGTGACGTGTCACGGTCGGCGTGCTTTGATGTGGAGCTCTTCACTCATTCGAGCTGTCCGTGCGAGCAGCCGATAGCGACGTGCAAGGTAAGATGCGTGACGAATTAATTATTAAAGCAGCTGTGTGTGGACGGCGGATGCTTAATGTTGAGTTGAGTCACGTTGTTGTCCTATTCTCATCTACAGGCGTTTCCTTGAGTAGAGTCTTGTTATCGAGTTGAGTCTTATCATAGAGTGTGGTGTCTAGTTCTTGAATGGTGTCGTGTTATTATGTGGGGTCGTGATTTTGGGTGGAAACATCTTTCTGAGTGAGGTCTTATCCCCCAACGTGTTAAGGGGGGGGGGGGTCTTATGCGAAGGCGGCACGTCCACTGATAATCTACATTGGTTCAAATTTTGGTCAGACTGATGCTTGCACGACTCGATGTGTTGCATTTTTTTAAAGTTGCGACCCGAATTCTGGTCTTTTACATGATAGCTTATCCTTATTCTATACATCTATGGCTAGTAGACCGTCCTCTGTCATGCCGGTATAAACCATTGCAGCTATGCTATGTAATGCGCCACGCCATACGTTGCAGTTTAACCCATGCAGCGCCACCTGTGATGCCTATCCAGACGCTGTGTGCACGTTAGACTTTTGTGGCTCATGTGTGGGACACTGGTCACGAGGAGGCGCTCCTGTCAAGTGTCACAAAGATGGTGAGACACGCACGTACACCCAAACACATGCACGTACACAATCACACGCACTCACGCATGCACAATCACACACGCACGTACACCCAAACACATGCACGTACACAATCACACGCACTCACGCATGCACAATCACGCACGCACGTACACCCAAACACATGCACGTACACAATCACACGCGCGCATACATATATAAACGTATATGCACCCGCGTCAATCTAAATACAAACGTACACATCACGCACATACACGCACGTATATAAGTATCGCGCACGCTGAAAATCATATAAAAACATGTACACTCTGTCTCTGCGGACACAGCGGTACGCTGAACATTGTTTATTTGTTCATTTTACACAGAAATGGTGGCACATGCCTTGCCGATGCAACCGGAAAAAACCACACATGTCGTTGCGACAAATATTTCACAGGAGCGCGCTGTGATCAGCGCATTAACGTCTGCGTGTATCCATTAGCAACGGGAAACTGTGACATGCCTATGAAGAGATATTTTTACAACATGACAACCGGCAGCTGTGACGAGTTTCAGTTTTCAGGTAAGAGCAAGCTGTTTAGCTGTCAGTCTGTTTAGAATGTTATTAGCAATTAGTAAAACATTGCCAATATGGACTGCAAGCGCAATATTTCTTCAATATGTACGTAAAGATTTAATGATAATCTCTTATCCACCACCGTTCAGTACCCACATGCACTCATGTTTTACGTTATACAGGCTGCGATGGGAATCTAAACAACTTTGAGAGCAGCGACGAATGCGAAGGAATCTGCACAGTAGGGGCATGCTGCCATCGACAACTCACCCGGCCGCCAGGTGGCGCAGTCGGACGTTATCTCTATTCCAGCCCAACTTGCGAGGTGAGGATGCAAAAAAAGGAGCAGGGGCGGATTAGAAATTGCGCAAGAAAACCCACTCGACATAAGAGATACATTATCTATTGATAATACGTGGCTATAACCAGATCTACGTGCACGTGTGTGATTTCGGTTGCGTTTCGACATGCCACTGAATGCACCCATGCATCGCATCAAGATCCCCTAAATCCCACTAAGACTATAATAGTTAATTTGTTAGAATATATACTATAATATATATTATATATATATATATATATATATATAATTAATGTACTTGTGGACGAAATTAAAGTTTGAATAAAAATGACAATTAGAAAATCCTTTAAAATAATAAAACAAGACAATAAAATGGTTTATTAGCTGTGGTTGTTATAATTCTCCAGCTGAACTGGTTACAGGTTTACAGAGCGAGAAGACCCTGTGAGGTCTGAATGAGTAGGGCACCTCGGCCGATTCCCTGACAAATCCGGGTTCCGTTTTTCCTTCCTTTCATCCGGGGACACAGCTCTAGCGGCACATCGCCAGGTGTATGTTTGGAAGCACCGACATACAGGTCCACTGGTGAGAGAATTCAGACCTGGTGCGTGTAGGAAATGCAGACTTGTGAATTATGAGGGCCGGATCTCAATGCAGGGTCAGCAAAGATCGAAACTACTGGTGCCAGTCCCTATATACTTATGGCATGTTTTTTGTTTTCAATAATTTCGATCTTGTGTTATTGGTTGAATTTGTAATCACATTATAACATTCGAATTTATCAACATATATTAACTTCCGATTTTTATCCAACCAATATAACATTCGATTTATCACATATAAGCCTTCGATTATCCACGATACTAAACATGTCGATTTTATCAGCATATAAAATTCGTTTATTCACATTATAACTTCGATTTATCCACATATAACGATTTTGATTCGTGAATAGAAAATGATTGCGATGCGTGATCAAAATGAACTTTCGACTCTGTGAAATCGCAGATCGATTTCGCAGCGTGCATCGAATGATTTCGATGCGTGAATCGGAAATGATTCGATGCGTGCATCGAATATGCATTCGAACTGGCGTGCAAATCGAAAATGATTTGCGATCCGTGAATCGAATGACTCGATTCGTGAAACGAATGAATTGCGAGTGCGTGAAATCGCATCATTTGATGCGTGAAGTCGAATCATTTAATCCGTGGAATCCGAATCAAGTTCGATCGTGAAATCGAATCATTCGATCCGCGTGAATCGAATCAAATTCGATGCGGTGGAATCGGAAAAATGATTGATTGCCGTGAATCGATATGAATTCAATGCGTGAAAGATCGAAAATGAATTCGAAAAAATTAAGTCCCGTGTCGTGAATGGAAAACATGCTATTAATGCGTGAAATTGGAATGAATTCGGCGAGAGTCTGGAGGCGATCTGCCGCGGCGGATGGACGATCGGTGGGGGGACTGGCGTGTGAAATCGAAATAATTCGATCCGTTGAATCGATCATTCGATCCGTGAATTGTATATGGTGGGATTAAAATCAACCATAAAACAAAAATCGAATTAAGGAAACAAAAATACATGGCCATAGTTAATACTTTTCGTTAAAATGTTTAATGAAATGAGGACAGTAAATAGTTTTCGGTTTGCCTAAAGGTGCCCTCCACACCATAGCGCATCACAGTTGCGGTATGGTTGGCCGAATAGAATAATAGTTGGGCGCATAAGTTCCGAAGCGCAACTTCCACACGCAATAATTAGGTTTTTTTGATAGGTTTGAAGCTTACCACTTGGCTGTTATTGGACATCAGTTTAATCATGGTCAATTTGCACTCGGCCACACATACAGAATAGAAATTACAACAGAAGGGGGAGAAGAAAGAAGACGAAGAAGAAGAAGAAGAGAAGAAGAAGAAGAAAGAGAAGAGAATGAGTGTGGTTAGACCCATGGATTAAAGCAGAAGCCGCCTTGAACTTTGGTTGCTGCTACGACCAGCTTCTGTGGAGCTCCGGAACGAGGACCAAGGTGCAATTCAAGTTAACCTTAATGAGGATAGCGCCCCCCGAGATGTAGGATGAAGCTGGCTAGGGAAGAGTTTTGGTCCTCGCATCACTCAAAATAATAAGGATATTCTATATTTATTATATAGGTTATTATACAAGGGCTTTTAACACGTTGACCGATATTCGCAACTAGCATAGGCAGGCCAACGCACCAACTTGTAAAGTTTTGAACGCAAACTTCAACACGCGCAACTTCGCACGCAACTCGTTGACGCAGCGTGATCGCAGATATTGGGGGATCAATAAGTTCAGTTCCAACCCGACACGCAACCCACACGCAACCCACCAACGCAACCCATCACGCAACGCCACACGGTACTTCACACGCAAACACCATAGGTTTGAATAGGT